AGGAAATGCTTAGGGAAAGCAGCACTGATACAGCTTGATGCTTACAGGGAAAGGGATCTGGAGTCTCACAGGCAGGGAAGGGAACCGAACCTTGGCCTCTCTAAGCAGCGCTCAGCCGTTGAGTACCTGCTCATACGCACTCGTGCGAGTGAGGGCAAGGGACTCTGTGCGGCGCCAGGCACGCTCTCAGGATGGCAAGTCCTCACCCTCCCCTCTTACCCGTTGGGACTCAGCAAGGCAGAGACGCGAGGCACGCGCTCAGCACCTCCCACAGTCAGGACTCCGTTATGCCCATACGCGTCACCATAAACCTTGACGCCTGCAGCGCGAGGCGCGGGTTGGTACCTGCACACGGCTGTCTCCTGCACTGTCCGAAAACGCTGCTCTGCTCGTTGTGGGAGAGCCACGTCAACATCTTGGTCCCGACAGGCCTTTTTCCTCCTGTCAGTTGTCGTTTCCCAGGCCCCAAGGGCTCTACCCCCATGAGGATGTATCTGTGTGCAAGCCCAAGGCAATGGGCCTTAAGTCGGCCAACAGAGGGGCAGGAATGAGGTGAAGGAAGGTGCCTTCTGCTCTGTCCCTGCTGAGAGGAGTGACGCGTTCAGTCGCGGGGGTAGGCAGCCGAAATGCGCATCTCTTCACTCAAGGAGGAGCCCACCTTAATCCCATCGCCAGTTTATTTATTTAATAACACCAACCTGAGAGATTGCAAGAGGAAAGTCAGCGTGTTCTAAGGTACCAGCTGGGCACGGTTTCTTAAAACCAGTTCCTTAACCCTAAAGACTTAGTTGCACTACTGAAGCCAGAAACAGGAGAGAATTGGGTTTAGTGACCTGGACAACACACCAAAGGAGACCTCCTTGTGCTGAGCTGCTACTCCAGAGGAACAGAAACTGCCTTAACACAGCAGCTAGGTTTTGTGGTCTTCAAAAACCTCATCAGCGCAGCCCTTCACACTCTCATCTGTCACACCGTGTTTTACCAAGGTCCTGACTATTTCACCTCGAGCTGTTGTCAACGCGCTCACCTCCACCCCATCGTGGCCAGGAGCCTGGCGTCGTCCTTGCAGCGCCGGGTCAGAAGATGCTCCACTTGTGACACTCGGAGGACGCACGTGGTGGAAAGGAAACATCGGCTCCAGGGAATGAGACAGAGGAAGCACGTTAATCCAGCAGGTACGCGGGATCCCACCGCAGATTCGGGGTGTGGGATCAGCAGCTCTAAACACAGCACTCACCCTTGCTTTTAGAACAGTGGGGCTGCACAGTCACTGTTCAAATACTGCTGCGCGGAGAGATGCCTGCTGAGATTAAGGTTACAGAGGACTTTCCCCACAGTTAAGAAACAGCGGCCTGAGGGCAGGGGACCAATCTCCCTTTAGCAACCTCTGCAAGGGAAGCCCCTCTGACCAGGACACGTGAAAGGCGAGTCACTAGCACTTTATCCTCAGGCAAATGTTGCCGTCGAGGTGAGCGTCAGTTAATGCCAACGCAACGGTTTTGCACTGCGACGCGAGAGGCGAGCTTGCAGGCAGCGCTGCACGCACCAGGACTCGGCAGCTTGTCCTACTTAGAATGGTTAAATCCCAGATACGCCCCTGCATCAGGCCAACTCTCTACTCCCCGCTCGGCTATAAAAAGCAAAAGATTGTGCTAACCAAAAAGCCAAGAAAGGAAGACGTCTGGGTGCTGCAGCAACGATTCCCTTGGATTGAGAGGGACAAAGCACACAGCAGGGACAAGCAGAAAGAATGTACCTATAGATATGTACATATACCACAGTGCTGTAACTTTTGTATGTAGCAGTAATGTAAATAAATGTATGGTTTTTATAAGATACATATTATAAAAGTCTATAAAGGCATATTTTTAGTAAAAAAACAATGCTCTACTTCTTTTGTAAATAGTTCTCTTCAGAATAAAGCAGATCATTTCTACGACGCCGTCTCCGCTCTCAGGTCACTGCTTACCTAGCCCGGCTGCAGAGCAAGCCGCTTTCTGAGCTGTCAGCAGCTGACAGCCCCTTCAGTGCTTCGGCGCCCCAAGACATTCGGCCACCAAGAGCGCTTGGATGCGCTCGGAAGGAACATCCGACGCATTTCCATCTCCCGCCACGCAGGAAAATAGAGGGAGGGGGGGAGCTTGTAGAGCTTCTCCCCTTCCCAGCCATTTACTGGCCTCTATATAGAGGGATGTTCAAGATTAATGAGTTCAGACACCGAACACACGTGGACAACAAAACACCTCCGGCTTGTGCCAGCTGCAGTTCAGACCACCTACACATCCCCAGGATTCCCCTCCGGAATCACACCGGGAGTCCGGAATCACTCCCGGAGTCACACCGGGACAGCGCTGACCCAAGAAAAGGCTCAGACCCAAGAAAAGGCGCCTCCCGTCGCCCTTCGCCAAGGGCAGGCCCAGGGCCGTGAACACGAAGGGCAACAAGCGCACCAGCCGCCTAGTTCCTGTCCAGAGAAACATACGTTCGCGTCCTGGGAAAGCGAGGAGAGACTCGGGATGCTGCTTAATCAACTCAGATATGACCCCTCCTGCCTCTGAGGAGAAGCCTCTGAAGTTCGCTCAACACTTCGCAGAGCGGAAAGAGCGAAGAGGGCAGTGACACCACACGCATCCCACTGTCACAAGCAACAAGGTTACGGGGTCCGGCCCGCTCCTGCCTTCACATCGAAAACCGGAACAGCAACCGCACACCTGACGGCGCTAACCGTGGGTTTGCCAATGCCCCCTCCCAGGAAAACAACCACCCTCTACCTACAGCAGCTCCAACAACCCCCCTCCACCTCCAGATGCTGGACAGCAGAGGAAACAGCCTCGGGAAAGATTTGGCAGCTTGTAACCTTTATTTTTAGTTTTTTAAAATTATTTAAAAAGCATAATTAGAAACTTTCATTACAGAAATAATCCTAGCAAACCAGTTAGACATTCCATTGCTCCACATTTAGGAAACTTCACATCAGCACCACTAGAGACACAGCCCCCTCCCCTTCCAAGGGAACAGCCGGTGGCGAGAGCAGAGGCAAGGGCTCCTCCGCAGGGAGAACGAAAGAAATCCCACTTCCAGCCGGGACTGGCACGCCCCTGGACTCAAAGAGGACCAACCTTTCCATGCAAGAGAACACTCCAGGTTTGGGTGCACCATTTCCTCATTTTATTGCATCATTTCCAGTAAATTCAGACATTTTCTTTATTCCTGCCTATATGAGGTTCCTCCCCTCCTAGATCCGCACGCACGCCACCGCCAGCGTGGCCAAGGAACACAGCCGGGCCCCCGACTGCCAAGGCGGTCGGGGGCCTGGGACAGCTTCGTTTCAGCAGGGAAGCGCCGAGCGCTGGCCCAGCTCCCTCCTCGGGCACACGCCGCGTTCGACGTCAGGAAGCAGCCGGGATGGACCGGCGTAACTTCACCCGCCACCTCCCGTCGCCGCTCAAGTCTTACAATTATCAGAGCTCACACTGGCAATATCATCCCGGCTCACCCTTACCCTCGCGTTCCCAATGAAAGATATGTGGAGAAGAGGCGGGTTGAGTCAGCTGGGGACGTACTCCCAGCACCTGAACCGATTAAGAAAACCCCAACGTGTCGCACATTCATCGCTTGCGTCTTTTAAAAAGTCTCCAAAGTGATTGATTGTGACGTGATTGTATGATCAGGGCTCTCACCACAACCCGTAAAATCTAAAAAAAAAATGCAGGCAAAACAAGTGACTAAAATTTAGCCTCTCCAGGGGGAGGGAGAGGAAGGGAGAGAAGTGGGTCGATTCCAAGCTCACGGACACGGGTGAATCACATCCTACCGCGCTAAGGCCCGCACTTCCGCAGGGCCACGGACTGAAAAAACGAGTACGTCCACCTTCAAAGCCTTAACGGAAGTCACACCCCCCGTGCCTTCTAGTCACCTGAAGGAACAAGCCTGGGGTTTATTAGTCTTCAGGCAGTTACTCAGGTGCTGAGCGTGTGCTTCCGGCCCAGAGATGTGATATTTTAGTTACACGCACGTACACTCTCCACCTTTCACTGCATCTCTCCAGGCCGATGAGCTGAGCCCTCAGAGGCCAGCAAAGGCCAGAAACCGTTGCTGAGCGCAGCGAGACCGGTTTGTTTCCAAGAGGTGATCCTCCACCGCCACACAACCCAAGCAAGCAAGCTTTCCGTCTCTTTACATTAAACAGCAGTCCTCTTTCCTAAGGGAAGAATCCTGGGAACGATCCTGCAGCAGCTTTCATGTTCAGACATCAACCCAGAACAGCTGGATTTATTTTCATGCCTTTTCTCTCTCAAAAACAAAAGCTTTGCCACCAAAATTCACATTCGAGTTCAGATCGCCTGTTTGTGGACAGGGCAATGAGGAAAAGTTGGGGATTTTTTTTGGCAGAATCACATGGGTTTTTTGTTGTTCTCAAAAGAAATGGACCCTCACTTAGGACCCTGGCAGAAGCAGAGGTCAAAGGAGTTAAACTTGCCTTTTTTTAAAAAAAAAAACAAAACAAGTTTTATCCAAATAAATCCCCCCTCTGCAGGTCGGTTTGTTTTTCGGTATCTTGATAGAAACGAAAGGAGAGCACAGGTACAGCTGGGCTGCAGCACAAGGAGGTGAAACCCAAGGACCCAGCCACAAAGCTGGCTCATGGCAAACTGAAATTCAAGGCCCCAGCAGCAGCGCCAGCTGCCGGCCCAGGGGCTGGTGAAGTGAAACCCCAGGCTCCAGCAGCAACGCCTGCAATCCTGGTACCTAGAAAAACAAAGCCTGAGCCCCAGTAAAAGCCTGGAACTCCAGGTGAAGCCGTAGGCCCCAGGGGCACCAGTTGCCAGCCCGGAGCCCAACCGAAATGAAGTCGGAGGCCCCAGGGAGCAGTTGCTGCCAGCCTGGGGCCAACTCGAATTAAGAACTTTGTACTGTTTCTTTAAAAAGATGAATTCTGCAGTCCATGATCGGTTGACATTAAGAAGGCATAAGCCAAAGCGACAACAGGGAGGCGAGGCTGGTTAAAGCAATATACATTATATACAAACTCTTGGGTTAATTAGTCCACTTGGTAGGCAACGTCCTTCTCGTCTACAAGGCGCACTGGAATGAGCAGGGGAGGAGAGAGGGGCAAGATTCCATCCGATACCTTCTTGGCACTGAAGTGGTAAGGTGCCAGCGCCTCTTGATAGAAAACATGGAGAAAAAAATAATCTTTAAATAACGGCACAAAACTGAGAAAGTCCTCCCAAAGCCTGCCCCGGTGGAATTGCCCGAGTCTAGCTGGAGGGGCTGATCTGTCTGAGAGCAGAGTCTCTGCAGCAGGGAAAGGGCATTAGCAGCACCGCTTCTTCCGTTTACTGTTCTTCGTTAGCTTCACCACATCATTCTGTTGCTGCTGTTGCTGCTTTGCTAAGTTTTCTTTCTTTGCTCGCAGGACTAGCTCTGTAATGCAATTAAACATCTGCAAGAGAAACAAGCAAGTTCAGACCTCAGGAACTCGGGCTGGGTTGGTGGGATGCTGTCCTTCTGAAGCAACTCCACGTTTCTAGCCATATCAGTGACGGTTCAGAGATCTTCCCCAACTCACTATGGGCCCAGAGGAAATCCAGTACCTTCCCAACTCACTCTCCCAAGCTAAATCCGTAACGCCGCTATCTCCTTTCCCAAACCAGCAAATACAAACAGGTCAGTTCGGCAACCGAGGCCAGCAGCGAAGACTGGGCAGTCCTACCTCCTAGAAGCACTCTCCCTCAGAAGTCTTTCCTGACACCATGCCTAATAGGTTAGCACTGCAAAGCTAGTGCAAATGCAACGTGGGCTCCTTCATTTCACTCCCCCAACCTTTCCAACCGCAGCTGGATGCGTCTCTGACAATTTACCTACTCACTTGCAACTCGTACAAAGCATTTTCTCTTTCTTCTTCAATGGGAAGAATGTAATTGTTATTCTTTCCCAAACCACTATCCCCCAAATCATTTTATCTGTGCTCTTCTGCGCATTACATTACCTCTTCCACATTAATATTTTCTTTGGCGCTGGTCTCAAACAATTGGATCTCCATCTGCCCAGCAAATTTATAGGCATCTTCTGTTTCTACCACTTTTCGCTCTGGGTCATCATTCTTATTCCCCACTAAAAAGGAAAGAAAACGTCAGTTTGGTACTTGAGCAGGTCAGCCCGCTAAAGAAGAGGATGTAATTCTGATCAGAAGCTCACCTAGTATCCGGCAGACATCGTCACAATTTTGATTAATCTCATGCAACCACCGTTTTACATTCACAAAAGATTCTGCGCTGGTTACGTCGTAGACAACAATGACCCCGTGCGTTCCTCTGTAATACCTATGGAGCAGGAAAAGAAAGCTGTGCATCACCTTCTCAGCTCTCTCTTTCACCTACCTTCTACAAGATTCATAATAAATCCCCAAGTTACAGCAATCAAGTGCCCCCATTTTCTTCCCACTATGAGTCATGTATTTCTTTTACAACAGCTAAATCACATGCTATTCCTCTAAATGTACAGAGTTCCCTGCTCATCAAGTCTACAGAATTAGGCTTCAAAGTCCACAGACTGCTGTTTACTTCCTCTTCAGGTTGTCAGGCCCTTCAGAGATGAATACTGTCTTCCAGCTCCGTGGGCAAAAGGTAGCAGTGCCCCCAGTATCTCCTCAGAACTGGCTGGGATGTGAACCTTCACGCTGTACAAGTCACATCAAGTTTTTGCACTAATTTTGTTACCTGTGAAAGATCACTTACAGACTAAAATTTCAGCAGATCTCCAAATATACTCAACCCTCAATCACAGTTCCCTTGAGCTCACAAAAATTTGTCTTGTTGAGCGACTGTGTTCTGATCACACCTTCCCACTCAACAGATCGACTCCATATGTGCGTTCCATGCGCTCTGCTACCTTCAGCCATTAAAAATAAGCTCCGTTTCAGTTTATTCCCATTAGTCTTGGGCAACCAGCACCTGTAGAAAATTATGAGCAATTCTGATCCACAGGAAAAACATCTGAATTCAAGTTCCAACATTATCACCTGCGTGAACCTCCTGAAGGCAGACAGTATGTGCACGACGAGAATGCTATACAAAAAAAGAAGCTCCACCTCCTCAGTTTTCAGCCACATTCACAGGGTACCAGGTATTTTTCCCTACTGCAAATGAGGCAGCTTTGACCAAAAAAAAAAAAAAAAAAAAAGTAATTGGCACAGTTGATAGCGAGGTCTTTGCCAGCATCCAGTTTTTATGTATTATGTAACTTTATTTCATAGAATGACAGAAGGGTTTGGGTTGGAAGGGACCTTAAAGCCCATCCAGTCCCACCCCCTGCCATGGGCAGGGACACCTTCCACTAGACCAGGTTGCTCCAAGCCTCATCCAGCCTGGCCTTGGACACTTCCAGGGATGGGGCATCCACAGCTTCTCTGGGCAACCTGTCCCAGTGCCTCCCCGCCCTCTCGGGGAAGAACTTCTTCCTGATATCCAATCTAAACCTCCCCACTTTCAATTTAAACCCGTTCCCCCTTGTCCTGTCACTACAGGCCCTTGTAAAAAGTCCCCCCCAGCTTCCTTGTAGCCCCTTCAGGTACTGGAAGGGGCTGTAAGGTCTCCCCGGAGCCTTCTCTTCTCCAGGCTGAACACCCCAACTCTCCCAGCCTGTCCCCATGGCACAGGTGCTCCAGCCCTCTGAGCATCTCCGTGGCCTCCTCTGGACTCACTCCTACCGGTTACTATATCCTTCTGATGCTGCGGGTTCCACAGCTGGATGCAGCACTCCAGGTGGGGTCTCACAAGAGCATTTAATTTCCTCCTCTTTCTCATGATCAAGATTTTTAATAAAACAAATTCAAGCATCCTGCTCTCCAAAATCAAGGATTTTCCCTTCAATTGTGCCAGCATTTCTAGACCTTGATCTCTTACCACAAGCATCTCTTGCAGCACTCCCTCTTCCCCTACGCTTCAGAGATGCCCACTGTGACCACTCCAGTCCTTCCTGCCAACTCGTTCCCACTCCGTGAACACACCTTTGAACTTTAAAGCCTTTTCACATAATCCATGGGCACTACCTTTCCGAAGATCTCAGCTTGGGCTCCCTTCTGCTACTGATGTGCTTGAGCATGTCACTACATCTCCCTCACCTTTAGCCTCATCAGCCCTTCTAGAACAGAAGCTACCAGCTTTAGAAACCATCCAGAGTTCCAGACAGGCATGTATCGCTTCCAGAGTGCACACATCTCCCCCACCCCTCTCCCCTCGCAATCACTGGGTGTCAATACTTCTGGGTTGTCAATACAACACATACTCTTTGGAAGCAGGAGAGCCCAGTCCTATTGCTCATCTGGGCACTTTCAGAAGACAGTAAAGTACTTTTTCCATGTGTTGTGGTTTAACTCCGGCTAGCAAAATACCATGAAGCCGCTCTCACGTGCTGAATCCAGCACACTATGCCATGTTTTCCCAGTAATTTACGCTGTACATTCACTTTCCTTGGCCAGAACTCACTCAGATAAGAATTACTTCTTCCCAGCCCACCAGAGATCCTGCACTTTCAGACACTGTAGTCCGTTGGCCATCAGTTCCTTTCACACCTTTAAAACTTGCACAGCACTGCACTTGTGCTTTAATTCGTTACCAGCTAGACTTTATTTCATAACTTAGATCCTTTAGCCGAAAAAACATTCCATAGCCTGAATCCACACGTTGCACAAATAATCCACCCTCCCCCGACACGAGCACGTACCGCACACTGGTTTTGATGAATACTGTTCTGTGTGACAGCATCAGAAAGATCCCTGATCCCATCAACACACGAGGTGTCTCTACATCTGAGCTACAAACTAATTATCTTCAAAGCCTCCCATATCACCTAGCAGTCCTTCAATTCAGCAACCCTCAGGCTGACCTACCACTTCCTCCCCAACAGTGAGCATTACATTTGCAAAGACAACACTCAGCTTTCAGAGAAACGCGGTGGTTCAGCTACACCTACGCAGAGCTGCTTCATTCTGCTGTGCACGCCATCAAACCATGCCTGCTATCCCAGTCATCCAAACCAGAGGAGTCAACGGAGCATCCTGCTGCTCCTACCTTGCCCACGCACCTAGGTTTTCTTCTAAGCAAAGCGTATGATGTCAGGGAGTAGAACAACAAGCACCCTGCACATAACAGATTCCACTCCTGACACGTCGTCAGCACAGTCGTCGTTTGCTCGGGGGGATGAGGGCTGGACCACGCAGCACAGACCACCATGGCACTCAAAACTCCGCAGGAGCTGGGAGCTCCTGCCACAGGGCACTAATAGTGCCAACCACCTCATCAGAAATATCTTCCTTTGTGCAAGACAGCAACCCCTGACTCCTGCCAGCATACACTACTTCTATTTTTGGAGAGGAAAATTGTCTAGCACATTGTTCTAGAAAGGTTGCCAACCCCTCCTCAACACTAAAAAGTCATTTTCTCCAGTGGCTGACATAACCTTCCAGCAGCCCCACAGATAAGACCACAACTATCTTTTATTCTCTAACTCTTAAGCCCCATAATACGCATTTTTCTCCAAAAGCTAGTCACACTATTTTGCGTCATTTGTTCTATCCAGCCTTAGGTCCTAGATAACATTAGGACCTAGATAACAGCAAACAATCTTTGCTGCTTAACAAGCGCAGCAAAGACTTCCCAACCGCAAGTGCAGGACAGTACTAGAAACCAAAATCTGATTTATCCTACCCCAAACTTCAGATTTCAGAATGATGCAGCGCAGAATTGCTTTTATAACAAGTTGTAGGCTTTGGCGAGTGGAGAACAGATGGGGCTTTTGGCATTCAGGGAGGAGTAGGTGTAAATTTTGTGCTTTTGGCAACCAAGAGGTAGTTGAGGCTTTGACACTGGGGAAAGAATGCCTTATCTTCTTCCTATCCCCATTTTAGGGAAGATGGAGACCATAGAAATCACAGCAGAAGAGAAAAGAAGTTCTCAACCTCTGCCTCCCAGTCAAGGGCTAAAAATGACTGATGCTAGCTGTCGTGCTCTGCCATGTACCCCACAAACCTCAACAGCCAGTACCTGCTACTCTTCCTAGCAATAAATACGTTAATAAAAGTTATGGAAGAGTTATTCACCTTTGCAGTGTCCACAGAAGTATCCCGTTGAGGTGAAAGACAACCAAACCTGACCTGCATATGCCCTTGGATGCTTAGGAGCAGCCAAGCATCTTCCATATGGTTGGAAAAGTTACTTATAGATCTACAGGCTTTGCATTCAGTTTCGGCGTGGAAAAGCCTCGAGAATGGTAACATTTAAGTTGAAATAAACACAGCACCACCTAAGTTGCTTGTTCTACCTACAGAATTCTATTTAAAGCAGCTTAAAGACATACGCCTACTGCCTTTGAAACTGCCACTGATACTGCAGACTTGATACAGAAAATCTTCACAACTGGTTAACCAAACCCATCGCGTCCTTCAGCCGTCTGCAATCTCCCCTCACATCCCTGACGCATCCCTTTGTAAGAAGGAACGTTTTGCCATTCACTGCAGTACTCCCTACTGCAAGACACCAAGATGAAAGTTCTCCGATTTCCTCCAGTAAATGCTTCCCAAGATTATCACCTGGAGTTACAACCACTAGCTTCCTGAAGCATGAGAGTAGCTGGGTCAGATTTAGGAGACAGAGTATTATTGACTGCATCAGTTCAGTTGGGCACATGTTCTTTATTCCAGAAAAGAAAAAAAATAACTGTCCAACTTGAAAGACAGATCATGGATCACTGGTTAAATCCAACATCCTTTGCCCAATTTCACTAGTTTGTAGTACACGTTTCCTTGATTTTTTGTCCTTTAGAATTCTAACCAATTCCAGAGATGCCTAATAATCTGTTTCTATACTCATCGTTTTTTCAGGCCCCTGGAAGCACATCTAATGCCACAGGTCAGTTGTCTAGTCTTTTGACCATCATATCTGCTTTACAAGACACAGCAATTCTATCATCTCAAAAACTCTATCCCTCTCTTGAACGTGCTATTCCACAAAAATCAGGGCAGGAAGTCCCTCTGCTATCACCATTCACCCTGAGCCAGCATCTGACAACCATTCTTTAAAGCTTAAATCCTAAAACCACAGTCCTGGACCAGGAGAAAGCAGCCCATGTACAAGAGCATCAAGCCCAGGAACCGGTTGTTCACACATCTTAAGCGTTCATGCGAATACAGCCGAGTCCTGGCATGCTACATCTCTGGTGAATTTAAATCAAATTTAGGGTTTGGATGACATTCCACGCCAACCAAATTCACACAGTTTGGCCTCTCCTCCCACTACGCACCAGCTATCCCAGTATTTCCACATTTAATAGACAGTAAAAAGAGCTGCTGCCTTTTATACGTCCCAGGCTGAAACTCTGCTCTAGTTTTTTCCTGAGTTTCTGTAGAATACTCCAGATCGTGATTTCTGTTCCTTATCAGTTTTACTCTGCTCTTCAGCTTCTGTAGCTGTAGGCAAGTAAAATCAAAATAGCATATAACCTTTTAATGTTCCCCAATTTTCTACTATTAACTTCCTACCACCTCTACCATTTTGCAATTCTAGGTCTGCACAGCAGTAATTCCAACTTATTACTATTATTACCAGATGGGCTCTAATTTCAGACTTCCTTACCAGGCTTGGCTCAACATCAATCTGAACTCTACCTTTAACTGTAAAGGGACTTCCTGGCTTACAGTAATACTGAAGGAACACCTTGTTATAGGCTTAACCTCAATCTAAACCTCAATCTAGTCAAAGACCAGACAAAGACTAACTACCCTGTTGACAGTGCACTCACACTCCACCCATGGTTTGGGAGCCAAACACTTTCCTAAGTACTAGCATGGTAACTCGATTTGTCACTCCATTTGGGATAAGCCAATCAGTTACAATATTACTTTGCCCATAAAGACAGACAGAATAATTTCTAAAATCCAAACCTTATTACCTCCAGGTTTTATAGGTGATATGTTTAGGTCCTCTTGAAAAATATCAGTGAATGCTAGACAGTCCCAGCAAGCCGACCTAGCAGCAAGAGGAGTCCTCATGACAATGTAACCAGCATTCCCAAAGTGTTTTCCTCAACACCTCAAATGCGCTGGGACACAGGAACTTCTTTGCTTAATGTTGCACAAAATTCAAATCTATCTTCCTTGACCACAGAAGATGCTGTAACTACCCAAGTTAAGGTGGGAAAACTGAGGCCTTCGTTTCCCCAAGAGTAAAATATACCTCACTTGGGTAAAAAGCTATGCAAAAGTAGCAGCAGAGTTCAAACAGATCGTGGCACAAATGCCTTCAAACCATTCCAGCTTCTCCACTTTAAATGTTGATCGAAGACAAAAAAAAAAACCACAACTTACATACAACGCTATGCAAAGTCCCACTTGCAGCTATTCCCGTTCACAAGAGGAAGCCTCCTTTCCTGGTATTCCCCACCAGTGCCGGATACCATGGCTTTCTGAACTAGCTGGCATCAGCCCCACAAACCACCACTCATTAACGCAGCTCCGAGTCGTGTCAGGGAATCTGAAAACAGGAAGGCCATTTGCTGACTCAGCACTAATTGGGCACTGTGACTAGCCTAGCGCACAGCTGATGGGAGCTGCAGCAGTGCATCGCTGCCTCCCCCTCGCTGCTTCCTGCCCCAGGCTGCCTGCAGCACTGAAACAAGAAGTGATGTCACACACAGGAACCCTCCAAGAGGCAACCGAGTTTCTTCAAGCTAAACACTTAAGAAACAATGGAAGTAATCCAGTAATATCCGTACAGAAGCGCAGAGGAAAGGGGCAGTGCACACATCAGGTTCGGTTTTGCCATTTCTAGCTGTTTAGACCTAACACAGATGCAACCAATCTCATTATTTAGATGTCTAAGTTAACCAACACATCAGCTGAAAACGATCCTCCCCTCCAACAGGAGCCAAAAGGGAAGTCAGTCAGGAAAGACCAAGTGAAACACCTAGGTCTTTCAAGAATCATTACTTCTAGTTAATACCCAAAGGAAACAGAAGCTCCATTTCCAAGTCTATTTCTTCCTCTTCTCCTAGTGCCACGGTGAGCAGCCCCACCTTTACTGCAATCAGTTTACAAACACATGTTATTCTTAGTTCCCACCACTGCAGCTCTGGGTGTGGTTTCTTCAGGAACAGGAAAAGCTGTGCACACGCTGTGCGAAAGGACAATGAGCACGAGACTGAACTCGAACCAAGGAAAAGGTTAACTTCATGTGGGCATCTGCTTCAGCAGAACTCCACAGACAGCCGCTAAAATGCATCTGTCCCAAAAGAAAACTAAATATCGGAAATCCTATTCTTCGATCTCAGAGCTATTTATTAGTTAGACCATCTGGCTGAGGGCTTGTACTCTGCACTTCTGCAACACACGCCATCAGACAATGACCTTCTTGGACAAGCTTCAGGGACAAGTTTTATAGCTTATGCAGAACAGCGAAATAACTCCAGTTCTACCATTTGGAAACCAGCAGCAGAGGAATAAGACAAAGCCACCGCGGAAACACACAGAAGAGTGAGGAAATTTGAAATCCCAGTTTCAAACCTAACCACAACCTCATCACGGCCATCAGCAGCTGAGAGAATTCCCAGTGTACAGAGAGCCAAGCTATCGTTAGCCAATCAACTGCAACGTTAAAACATCTAAGCCATTAACTCTGAACTACAAGATCCATACACTAAGCTACGTATCACTATATCCAGTTATACTCACGTTGATGTAATAGTCCGGAAGCGCTCCTGTCCAGCTGTGTCCCAGATCTGTAGCTTCACCTTCTCTCCATTGATCTCAACTGTCCGGATTTTAAAATCCACTCCGATTGTGGTAATGTAGCTGCCTGAAGGGAAAGCGTAAGTGAGAACCTAAGTCTTGTTTATTCTGGATGTCCCAAAACACGCTTCTGAACACTATCTGGCAGTAGCTCTCAGATTGGGCAAGAGAACAAGGTTCCCCCTATCAGCTTATCTTTTAAAATGCCCTATCGGGCCATGCTGATGTGCATATTTTTATTTGCAGCTAGTAGCCTTTTTCTGAAAGCCACTTCTCCCATGCCACCCTTAAAACGTAAAACTCAGCGTTACAAAATATTCTTCTACTGCACTGGTGGTCAAGAGTAAGCATTCAACTATCACAAGAAACGGACAGTAACTAGGCGAGCATCTCACTTGTGAAAATTCTGAGACAAAGCTTTGCTTTAAATGCTTGTGCACACCCTTATTGTGAATACAGTCCATTCCAAGAGTTTCCTCCCAGTGCGTCGGTTAGTTGTATCGCAAATGTAAGTGGTTTAGCCACAACATCCAATCAATCTGAATCCCAAATGGCCAATAAGAAGTCGGCACAGACTACAGCATAAGCTAAAAACCCTATGCTATTTCTGGAAGCACATCAGTATTCAAATACTGCGGGACTTCCAGTTGGAAGTGAGGATCAGACCGGGTGGCTCGTAGAGGCTTATACCAAGAGAAGCCAAGCTAGAAACATACTGTATTCCTAGTGCAGCTCTCGAGCGTAAACGCAGAGAGCAGCTCCTTGCCAACCAGCAGACACCGGAGCAGACCTTGACCGTTTCACTCACCGAAGTAAACAGAACACTCACCTGAGAATGTATTATCTGCAAAACGCAACAGCAAACTGCTCTTGCCCACACCTATGACAAACAAAGACAGCAAGATCTGTGAATACAGTCATCTTGGGTGTCAGGTAACACAACAGTATTTTACCCATTTGTTGCATTTTCAACTCAAACTAGGATCTTTTCTCAGCAGATAACGCAGTACTATCCACCTTGCCTATTCATCTCAGTACTCTCCTTGAAGATTGGATCAGTGACACTGCAGTCACTCCAAGGCTCAGCATGCTTCTTTTAGCAGTACAGGGGTCTTTTTGCCCACTCCTCCCTCCAGCCCTGAGCAAACTCTCAAACAGTAGCTTTTGAACAGAGGTCAGTTAAAAGAGGTCATAAAAGAGTAATAACTAAAAGCAAGTTTACAATCAGTAGACTTTCATTTGCTGAGGAAAGATCCAAAAATGAGTATGTCATGCTAATTAACAAGTACTCAGAACACTGCTCTGAACTGCTCCACTGAATTCCACTTGTACATCATGCTTAACACCGCTGCCTACCTCCCATTCATTTACGCTGCGCGAACAGCAGTGGAATTTGGACTACTTAGGACAATCAGGCTAGGGTTTGGTACTATAAACCTTACGTTATCACGGTCTCAGGTTAGCAGAAGCCTAAACCAAACAGGGGAGCTGGGAACCATTGTTCTGTACTGCCATCCCAAATAGGCTTGTTCCACATCTAACAGGAAGGACACATACCATTCTGAAGTTGCACCTTTTGCCAAAATGTTCCATGAAACATTTCGCTAAATGCTTGGAGTAGCACTTCATCCAGGTTTTCCTTACATGATTGGTTGCACCCAGATCACACCCAGTTGCAGGGAAGCATTTTTCACAGTGCTTCAGACAAGAATCGTAAGAAACTCATTCCTGCACACCCAACCAAGGGGATCTAGGTACCAGGATGCCTCAATAACATCTCTGCTGTTCATGTCCTTTCTTCTCCCTTCCCCCCAGAAAAGAAGTCTGCTATGGCATGAAGAGGAAATTCAACTTCACCAGGGTGATTATCTACCAAATCTTTTCACGCAGAAGTTAAACTAATTACTGTGATGCGTAACTTGCAAGTTCTTCTTAATAGAAGACCTGTGCAAAAGCCACGTGCAAAGACTATACAGAACTCCAATAGTTCTCAGCTGGTGGCATCTGAAGATCACTACCACACAAAAAAAATTCTAAAAAGCCTAAAAATCTGCATGATTCCAGCAAGCCAGATCTCATCTGCAAACAGTTCAAATCACCAGGCATCTGGAGAAGCCAGGCTCACTTCTCACTGACTATTACAAACCTTACAGAGATAAATAAAAAGTTGCAGCATGCACCGAACACCTCTGAGCTCAAAAAAGGTAGCAGAGCAATTCCTAAACTTTAGCAGGGGACTGGTTATTTACCAAGAGTTAAATCTCTGCAAAACACCAACTGGCTAAGGTAAAAAGAAAAATAAAAAGGTTTCAGCAAGTACTATGCTTCTTGATCAAGCAGCCTTGGCCTCCAGCTTAATAAACCCACAGACTGGAACCCACAGACTTGTCAGACCACACCGCCTTCTAAACGTCAGTCAGCCTCGGGCTACGCTGCAGAGCTGCACATGACCACTGCTTTGTCAGAGTGTCCACCGCTGCACAGACCAGGTCTTGTCTCTGCTGCTCTCAGCTTCTAGAGAAGAGAAACCTCCTGAACTCAGGAAGTTCTACAAGCCCTGATGACAACGATCTCACTAAGCAAACACTGCCTCTGACCTGCACTGTCCACATATAGAGAAACCACACTCTTCGTGACCCTCCACTTCCTACACAGTTATTTGAAGAGCTGAAAAGCACAGGCTAGCAGGGCCTCTCTGCTTTTTGAAGGCGGCAAAACGAAACAAACCAGAAAAGGCCTACTGCCTTTGTAAAAATCAACGTTAAAAGAAAATTTCTGTGCCACACCAGTTTTTAAACCCCCTCTCTTACCGAATGGTAGAGTGAAATAAAGATGCACAAATGAATTAAAGAAGCACATGCGAAGCAGAGATCCCCTGTATCATTTTTAAATATCTAGCACAACTGACATCACCAGCAGCTCTTCAAGATGACCTGTTTTAAAAACACACAAATCTACTACCCTCTTGACATATTTGCATACAGGGGAAAGCAAATGAGACATAATCATCCTATCCAGGATCGGTCCACTTCCTATTGCAAGGAATAAACATCAACAAACAAGGCAAGCAAACTGTTTTGTGAAAGCAGGGACAAAGCCTTCCTGCTGGGGCTAGCAAAAAAAACCAAAAATGAAAAATCAACACCCAAACTATATAGTGAGATTTAATTACAACAGCAGAGAGCCACAGGCAACCTGAGAATTCTCACAGCACTTTCTTCCTCTCACTGGACACACTACAGGGACTCAAGACGACTCAGCTAAGAAACATGAGTTAATTGTTCAAAATGAGAAGAAGTCTTCCTTAAGAGTTTCCACCATCCTGTTCATCTTGCCTGAACAGTTTTGAAACTCATCAGCAAGCAACAGAGTTACTGCTTTACTCTGAATGCAGCACTTGGTTTTAACAATCCACAGGCTCCCAAAAGTGCCTAGGGTTTTAAGCTCTTTTGAAGCTGTTGCCCTTTCTCCCTCTTTAGATCCCCTCATGCAGACACAGTTTTAGTATAGAATAAAATATTTTTATGTACAGCTAAAGCTTCTGGAGGTGACAACTGCCAGGATCATGCAGCATTACACTTTCACCCAAGAACCATGCCTCACTGCGTGCTGGGACCTGCTGCCTTACGGACCACACCTCTATTAAAAGAAGAGGGTGGATGCCATCTTCTCCAGTTTATGGAAATTAAACTGTAAGCTGTTGGAGTGTTACCAACACTGAACTGGACTGAAGGCAGGAATCTTCCCAGCCCCAATTCTTATGCACCCAGACTCAAGCATCAGACACCGGCTGAGTTCACATGCTGACCCTCCAGAAGTTTCTGAAACTGCTGCAGAAGTATTTACAGGTCTATTTTCAAAAAATCAATAGCTACCTCTTACCCATAACTATTTTAGATATTTGCATCCTACACTATAACTAGAAGTACACAAAGGTACCAGCTCTTGAAGGATTTCCTTTCAAAATTGTGACAAACTCCAGAACTGAAACTTCAGGTTGACTCACACCAAGTCTTAAAGAATAATTAAGATAATAAAGGGTATTAAAACATAGTAGTTGCCACACTGGAAACAAAGGTCCCTAGGGCTGAGGTGCAGCCAGCCCTCAATCGATGCCTTACACTGTCCGTCACAGAGGAAGGGAATTCCCTCCTCATCCCTGCAGATTAGTGGGCACCCGCAGAACATGCAGCTCGCAAAGGCAGATGCTAGCACGAATGCCGACGCTATCCTTACTTATACGTGCCTAATCTTCCTTCTCCTAAACCCAGCCAAGCTATTTACCATAATATCCTGTGGTAGCCAGTTCGGCAGGTTCATCAGATAAAAAGCCCAAGCAAAGGCGCCCGCTCATTCAAAGCGCAGGGGTCTCGGCGACCCGCCCGGGCACAGCCCA